TATTTTATCTAGTCCTCATTATTCACCTTCTTCCGCACCACAGAAGGGCCTCTTTTAAGAGAAGATCCTTATTAAGAAAAGATTCTGAATCACACCAAACAAAACTTGACAGAGGTGATTTTAGGCTATCTTGTAAATTGAACAATATAATTGATTGTAAAAGCATTTAGCCAACACTCAGTGCTATAATGCCAAATCAAAGTAGCAACAGTAACTTTGCTTCCCTGCAGAGTGGATGCTTATTCCCCAATCACTTGACTCAGAAAGCATTAAAATTTAAAACAGGAACGGGAAAAAAAGATACTTTCATTAGCTGTTACCCAAAATTCCTAATAAGAAGTGACAGGCACTGCACTTGCTGTGGTTTCTCCAAAGGATGCAAAAAGACTTAGTCTGTGGTGGCTGTGGCTGATAATCGATTTATCATTCCCAAAACCTTTCTTTTCCCCTAATGGGAATAATTGTACTGTGAGTAAATTAAATGGCCTCTTAGTTCACATTTCATCACCCTGAAGCAACAATACTAGGCTTGTGGAAGAACCTCACAAAATATTGGTTCTTCAAAGTCTTCCCAATCTACCCCACCAGCCCAATGGGAAAATACATTTCAAATGCCCAAGGCAGGGATTGAGCCCTCATTGAAATAGGACCCAGGAAGAAGTTGATGGTAAGTGAAGACATGTCAGCCTGGGAGAGGTACAGTTAAACCATTAACAAGGAACTAAGTTTACTCCATGCTTGAAGTCACTTTCCTTGATACTCACAGGACATGTAACTTCCTTCTAATGCAGGTAGCCTAACCTATGTTCTTTCCTAGCAACTATCAGAACTACACCTGGATTATGTTGTCTAATTAGTTGTTTGGTACCTAACTCCTTCCATAGTTAGTAAATGCCACTGATCACAATCTACTTGACTAAAGCAGAAATCCCTATCACTAATAGAGGGTGAGTACTGAAAAACTATTAGGTGATTAATATACCAACTGAATTGACAAAAAAAAAAAAAAAAAAAAAAACCTAGATCCTTAGCCCCTCAGGTAGAATGTAAGAAAATATGATCATTCTGTGATATACACCTCAAAAATAACAGCAGTATCTTTCTGTCCTTATATACCATAAGCAATGTCCCAAAAATATGCACCAACTGAATCCATGTATCTCCACCATTAACCATTTTCCCTCTTTAGTTCTTTCAATCTCATCCTCTGGCTGAGTACTCCCTTAGTTCTTTAGATATCCTCCAGCTGTGGGTATACCTCAGTGATAGGGCATTTGCCTAATGAGCTCAAGGGATTTGACTCCATCCATAACATAGAAAACAAAAAATAAGGATAAACTCAAACTGATCCTCTGTTCCAATTTCTTTTTATTTCATTTTTGAGATTATAACATAGTAACATTTCCTCCTTCCCTTTCCTCCCTCCGAGCCCTCCTATATACCCCTCCTCACTTTCCTTCAAATTTATGGACTTTTACTAATTGTTATGGTGTATATATCCCTAGATATATAACTAGTTCACTCCATGTGATGTTATTTTTATGTGTATCTTCAGAGCTAGCCATTTGGCTCTGGACAACCAATTGGTGTGCTCTTCTCTGGGGAATTCACCTTTCCCACTCCCAGATTTCCTCAGTTGTCTACAGTTCTTTGTTTACAGTTGAGGCCTCATGGGCTTTTCCCCATCCATTTTGACTTCTACCTTTCAAAATATCATGATCCTCAGGTTTCTCCCACCATTAACAAAGGAAAAAAAAAACTACCATCAGATCAGAAACTGTGAAACTGTTAGAGGAAAAAATTAGGAAAAGCACTTGAAGATAAATGCATAGACAAGGATTTGACAGAACTCAAGTCATCAACAAAATAAGGTCAACAACATATAATTAGGACATAATGAAATTAATGTTTCAACATAGAAGAGTAGACAGTTAATAGAGTGAAGCAAGCCTATAGAATGAGAGACAATTGTTAGCTATTTTTAGGATTAATATCAAGAATATATAAAGAACACAAAAAACTAAACAAGAAATCAAAAACTCTATCAATAAATGGGCTAACAAAGTAAACAGACAATTCTCAAAGGATAAAATGCATATAGTATACAAACATGCAAAAAAAAGTTCAACCTGACAAGTCATCTAAGAAATAGAAATCAAAACATTATAGAAGCTGAGCAGGTTGAATTTATATATATAACAACAATTATAGAAAAAGAGGCCATAAATTTGAGTAAAAACACAGTGGAGGGTGTACACGTTGAGGTGATGGAGAGAGAAAATTCCAGAAAGTGGTGAAATGATGTAATTGTAATCTCAAAGGAGTTTCAAAATATTTTTAAAAACTATAGTGAGATTCTATTTTCTCATAGTCAGAATGATAATCACTAAAAAAAAAGCAACAGCAAAAAAAAAAAAGAATAACAGAAAGTTCTAGTGAGGACGTGGACAAAAGGAATGCTTATACACTGTAGGTTGAATGTAAATTAGTTCAGCCACTGTGGAAGTCAAAATGGAAGTTTCTCCAAAAATTAAATATGAATTTTCTATATGACCTAGTTATATCATTCCTGGGTATTTACTCAACTGATTCAAGTCAAGCTATCACAGAAACACATGCACACTGGTGATATTAAAGCACTGTTCACACTAACCAATTATGGGACCAATGAAGCATTCACAACAGAGAAAGGGATAAGGAACACATGTTACATATACACAGTGAAATATTTTTTTCAGTCATAAAAAAGAATGAAAGTCCTCTCCTTTGCTGGAAAACTGTTGCAACTGAAGATGATCATTTTAAGGCAGTTAGTCAACATCTGCAAGGCAAATATTTCTCTCATTCATGGGGTTCCTAGTATTTATAGATACACAAAGTCATGTGTATACATATGACATGAAAGCAAAACTAAAACTATCTAGGACAACAAAGGGAGGGGGAAGGATAATTAATGGGAAGGGGGGACATGGATGGAGAGTAGAAAAGTAAGAAGTGGAATGTGCTGGCATAAAATGCAAATTTACAAAATCTTTAAAATTATTAGTTTTACTTTCAAAAATAGAGAAGTTTTCAATACTCCCCGGGACCTAAATGTTCTGACCATTGTTACAAGTGACATAATTGCCAAATCCTCAGTGAGTGCGCCTTCTTTTAGCTGCTCTATCTGACACTCACAGTCACTCCCCTGTTCCTAAAACACTTTCCTCTGTATTTATTACTGATTTGCCCTGATCATATCTCAATAGCGAAAAACATACCCACTTTTTCTTTACTTATTGACCTCTCTTACTTTTATGACCCTTCAGGGTTCTAACTCAACTCCTCCAAACCATTCTCCACAATGCAGTCATTAAGTATGGTTACCTCACTAATACTTGAAATGATTGGAGATAATTTTGCTGCCTATTAAACTGAGGCTTCTGGTTTCAAGCATCTTCTTACAACAAAAATTAACATATACATGCTGTATGTATATACCATGAAAGCTAAAATACACTAAACTTCAAATTTCCTTTGACACACTAAACCATGGTATACATTAATATTATACAAGTTTTAACAAGGCCTCCATAATACTGGTTTTAAATATCTGATTCCAGATAATGATATTCCCATTGTCACTCATTAAAAAAAAAAAAAAAATCCTAAAAGTCTCAGATCTGTGCTCCTGGTCTTCATTCCCAAATTTTACATGTGAATAGGTCATTTTTGTGACCCACTGACAACCCTGAAAATCATCTGGCTGCTACACGCCTATACAAAGATACAAAGCCCTTCCAGAAGCTGTAACAAAACAAAGTAATGGATGGTAACTCATGAATCTCATCACTGTAGTCAGAAGATACACTGAAAAATCACCTAATTTTAAGTAGGAAAAAAAAACCATTACACAAAAGTTAAAAAAAAAAGATCAGAATTATGTAATTAACTTGATATGAATATTGCAGTTGAAAATGGCCTGATATATCCAGATTTGGTGGCTCACACTCTAATTCCAGCATTTGAGAGTCTGAGACATCAGAATTGCCACAAGTCTTGAGAGCAAGGGGTCAGAGTGGCCTACAGAATGAGACCTTGTCTCAAAAATCCAAAGTATGTGGGGAAATTCGGTTGATGAAGACTCCATATTACCAAATTCTTTTTATAATATGTGTATTTTATGACTATCAAAGTACCAATTTGTTTTCTATGGTTCCTGATGGAATTCAAGTCCTAAATATATAACTGCAGGCTATAAAGCTATTCAAGGCTTTACCTAACTCAATTCAAATTACTTATTTTTTGCTACTTGGACATTCCAAACTCACCAAACCCTCACTAGCTCCTCCTGTAACGTAGACTCCACCCCTGGCCCTGTTCCTCAGGGAGGAATTATCCCTCCATAACCTAGTTCTTCTCTGATGGCTGGATCTTATCCTACCACAACATGCTACTCAGATCCCTGAAACAAGATACCTCATCTACCCCAACTTTAACATCCTCAACAACTTTCTGCAGTTTCTCCTGGTGTGAACACGCTCAATCAAAGATCTGATCAACAAGTGGCTAACCAGTCCCCAAATCAAAGATCTGATCAACAAGTATCTAACCAGTCCCAAAAATGTCCTCTTCTCCAGGAAGCCTCAGAAACAATACTGATGATGGAGCCAGGCTTGCACACACTCTAAGGTGTAAAACACTCCACAGAACACATGCTTTGCCTGCCAAAGTTTCTGAGGCTCCAGATGCAATCTACTTAATCAGTTACAAAAAGACCCTCCAGGCAGTGGTGGTGCACACTTTTAATCCCAGCACTCGGGAGGCAGAGGTTGGTGGATCTCTGTGGATTCGAGGCCAGCCTGGTCTACAGAGTGAGTTCCAGAACAAACAAGGCTACACAGAGAAACCCTCTCACACACACCCAAAAAAAAAAAAGAAAGGAAAGAAAGACCCATCCACATGCATGAATAGACCTACCTCCTCCAAGGACACGACACAGAAACCCCAAGACACAGTACCTGAAAGCATGTGCTGCCTGTAGGCACCAGAAGCCTGAGAGAGCAGAGAGCGGGCTGGCGCTGCACAAATCTTGGGCTCCTGAGCAGAAAGGACGCCCTCAGGCGGCAGGGGAAGCGCTGGGGCTAGTGTTCCCTGCCACGCGCGCGGATGCAAGCGCTGCCCGCAGGTAGGCGCCAGAGCCCATAGCGTCACCCCGCCCTGCTCCTTTCTTCCCGTGCCAATCAAAAGAAGGAGGCGGGCGGAGACCACAAGCCCCAGAAGCACTTGCGCTCCTCGCCTCGGAGGGGCTCGGGCGGGCTCGGGCGGGCTCGGGTGGGGCTCGCAACGGGTTTGGCGGGAATAGGCAGGAGTTTTCTGCATCTTGGCGCCTGCTCCGAGCTTCCAGAATAGTCTAGCTCCTCTGCTGAGAGAGGCAGATGCCCTGCCTGGTTTCTAAGGGAGAGAGCCCCATGGGGCTTGCTAACCCGAAGGACCTGACTGGGCCTTGAAGAAGTCTCAGGAAATTTTCTGTTCTGCTGACTCCTTTCCTGTTTTGCATAACAACAGTCAGGAAAAGGGATTGTTTGGTTTTGTTTCTTTACTTGTTTCCAAAGGGTTTTTTTTTTTTGTTTTTTTTGTTTTTTTTTTTTTAATTTTTGCTTCTTGCAGGGGAATGTAAATTACTCTACAGCTATGTTTCTTATATGTCCACCTGTTATGTTATTTTAATATAAATTCCTAATTTACTTTTGCCTTACATACTGAAATCCCTCATATATTAGAATGCAAAATAGATTCTAAGCATTCTGAAGGCATTTTTGCTGTCTTTAGTAACAGAATGCTTAGTTGCCAATAGGTAGAAGGTTCAACAATTGTATAGTTTAAGTTATCAAGTATTATATAACTAGGGGTCTGCTCAGCTCATTCTCCCATATAGATGAATCTTTATTAAGATATACATTTGCATCTAGTTAGTTGTAAATGTCTTGGAAATGTTAAGCTTCATTGTTCTATCTACGTGGTTTTTTAAGAAAGTCAACAATCTTAAATATGATGTAATTTGTTTAATATGGTTTTTCATTAATCTTGAAGCAGTGATTTTCATATAAACTAAAATTGAATTATCTTGAACTCCAGTTAATGAACAATAAATTAATGTTTTGCTGTATTTGCTGCTCTTCTTTGAGAAATGTAAAATCAAATCATCAAAGTTCATTTCAGAGATAATCAAGAGTCAAGTAAGAGCAATGTAGAAAGGTTGCCTTGTGTTGCTGAATATATGATACTCTATCTAAATTCCACTCATACATTTATTGAACAAATTGAACTATTATGTGCCAGACACGGGGTGAAGCCTGATTACAGCCCTATACAAAACAGAGCACTCAGTCTAATAATTAAAATAATTTGGTAACAATTACCAGAAAGAGCACAGCCACTGAAATCCCATAGAAAGACTCAGACTTACCAGAACCTTACTCTTTATCATCTAAGTTTAGAGACCCACTAACTTCAATAACCTCAACAGTTTTCTTTGAACATACCCACATGCAGTGGTTAAAGATATTTTATAACTACATAGCAGAAAAACAATTCAAGAAAATTATGCAAATTTTGACTCACTCATGACTAATGAAACAGAAACTGGTCAATCAATACATGCTGTTGAATAAAGTAATGGGTTCTCCTGTGATGTTTACCATTTAATTCTAGGCATTCTTAGAGCCCCCCTTTTATAATGTCACAGTCTGACAATGGTGCTGTGACTAACCCACTTTCTAAAGGATTATAGATGATAGATAGATGGATATATACATACATACATATATAAAAGATAGACACACAGATAGATACATAGATAAAGAGAGATAAAAGTGAAATGACAAACTTTATTAAAAGTGAAGAAACACACAGATATACACACAGTAGGAGGAAATAACACACAAAGAAAGGCACCCCAAAAAGTGGGAAAGAGGTCTTGGAAACCAGAATCTGACTTCCCCTCATAGACCTGGGACTTTGGTGGCCTGAGATGATTCCTCCTCCTCTCATTTTCTATTGGTCATCTTAAGAAAAGAAAGGGGAGGTCATAGGACCAAAGCTTCAGGTAACCATGCTTAGGAAGCAGCCCTAAATGTATGTGACCACCCTGGACAGGTCAACCAGAATGGCAGGAGAGTTGCTAGCAGAAGAAAAAGCCTGCTAGGACTGTGTCAAGCATGTTATGAGGAAGCTGGAAGGTTGCCGTCTTATTAATGACGAGCGGTCCCATTTCCTATTCGTCTGCCTGCCAAGTACCTCCATCTCCTTGTTTCTCAGCATCTTTCTATAAATTTCTAGTATCCAAATAAAATCAAATAAAAATAGTTTCACAAAATGTACAATCTTAGAAAATGAGACTACTACCTTATTAGTTAACTTAAACCAAATATAAGTGTATGAGTAAACTAAGTACAAAAATGCAATCAAGCGGCTAATGTGATGCCTCAGCAGTTAAAGGCATTTCCTCTGAGCCTGGCAACCTGAGTTCCAGCTCCACAATCTGCAGGGTAGAAAGAGAGGATTGGTTTATAGACTTTATACTCTGACCTCCATACATGTGATGTGGCACAAGTGTGAGCATATATACATAGACATAACTAAAATTTATGTAAGTAAGGGGCAAAATTAACTGTAAGATAGCTACTTTAACCACTAACAACAGAATATTTGATAAAATATCAAAAGAAATGTGGATTGTTTTTTAAGGATGTTGCAAAGTGTTTTTTTTTTTAAAAAGGAAAAAGAAAATGTAGGCTAGGGATTCAGTGAATGTATTACAGAGCAGAGGGCAGTTACCTAGTGTATTTGAGATCAGGGGTTGACTCCATAGCACTGGAAGAACAGAAGGCAAAATAGAAATCAAACAGTTTGTAGTGTATTATAATAGACACTTATGAAAACAATAATGAAACGTATCTTTTTACAAAACAGAGGCTAGCAAAGGAAATTGGTGGCTCTATGTTTAATTCAACAGTTCAAAAAACATCTATTTAAATGTTAATTATAGTAAGAAAGTCATTGTTCTCAATGAATTTTCAGTCTAGTGACAGTCCATTTTTACCATCAAGCATCATCAACAAAGTCTTAGGGTTTCTATTGCTGTGATGAAACACCAGGACTGAAAGAAAGTTGAAGAAGAAAGGATTTATTTTGCTTATAATTCCATATCACAGTTTATCATCAAAAGAAGCCAGGATGGGAATTCAAACAAGGCAAGAACCTGGTGGTAGGAGCTAATGCAGAGGCCATGGAAGAGAGCTGCTTATTGATTTGCCCTTATGCCTTGCTCAATCTGCTTTCTTATAGAACCCGGAACCACCAGCCCAGCGATGGCCCCACCCACATCCTCAATCACTAATTAAAAAAAAAAAAATGCCCTACAGGTTTCCCTACTGCCCAATCTTATGGAGGCATTTTCACAATTGTGGTTTCCTCTTCTCAAGTGACTCCAGCTTCTGTCAAGTTGACATAAAACTAGCCAGTAAAAGTTTTCAGTAGAAAATACTAAACACACCCTCTATTGTCTGGCAATCATGAACTGCTTGATTCAGTTATTCCTCATAAAATTTTATGAGACAAGTATTGTCTGTAATCTTTATTTTGCAGTGAGGAAACTGACTCAAATGTATTCATCCAAGGACATTCAGCTTGCTGATAGTGAGACTATGATGTTCATCTTACTCTCTTTCCTCAAAGTCAATATACTAGACACATGCACTGTAGCATATCCAGGAGCATGTCTAAGCATCCTCTAGCTACTGACCATTAATACAGCTTTCCAAGCTACCTATTCAGAATTGTATTATCTTAGAATTGTCTTAGTGATGATACCTAGGGCAGTTAACTCCACACTCCTTTATTTCTATTTATCAGTCTCTTGACTAGATATCCATCTGACGACTTTCATGCATGCTACATGCCTTTGTTTCACATACACAGGATGTGTCAGTTGCTATTCTATTGTCTATATTTTCTACAAATGAGTCTAATAATCCAATAACATTTTCAAAAGATCATAAGCCCAAAGTCAGTAGAGTTCACATTGGCCAATGCTGTGGAATAATAATCCTTCTGTAGACAGTGAAAATGTGTTGCTCTCATTGTTAATAAAAGGCTGATTGGCTGATAGCTAAGCAGGATTTTCAGGCAGAGAGGATACTGGGAAGAAGAAGGGTGGTGTCTGAGGAGTTGCATGCCAGATGCAGAAGAAGCAATGTGGTAGATTCATAGATGAGGTAAATGAGCCTCAGGGCAGCACATAGATTAATAGAAATGGGTTAATTTAAGTTGTAAGAGCTGGCTGGAGATAAGCCTAAGCTATTGGCAGATCATATATAATTAATAATAAGTCTCTATGTGGTTATCTGGGAGTGACTGCGGAGACACAGAAAAACTCCACCTACAGGCCATAGGATTCTACATGATTTTCAGTTATTGTTGTTTATGCAGAATTATTGATTCATATTGCCATTTGTATCATTGTTAGCATACTCAATGCCATCTTACAAATCTTTCTCAACTTTTATCAATATTGCTGGTATTGAGAAAGTGGGTGAGTGGAGATCATATTCTACCTCTAATCAGGTTGTTGTCTCCCCTCCAAGAATGGAGTGGGCAAACAGCAAAGCAAAACCAAAACTAACTTTATATGCAACACAGGAATAAATGGTTTGGAGACTCTTGATGGCAAGAGGATGCCAACTGGGAGATGTTTCATCTCTAAGTCCTCAACAAGCTTTGGAGTGCCAAGCAGGGAAGTTGCAGGTATTACAGCTGTATTGTCTCGGAGGCTTTGGAATGCCAACCAAGAGATTAGCTACACATGATCTGCTTAGGGGCCCCCTGGCAGTAGATCAGAGTCCATCCCTGGTGTATGAGCAGGCCTTTTGGAGCCCACTTCTATGATGGGACACCTAGCACAGCCTTGGGGCAAGGTGAGGGGCTTGGACCTGCCTCTATTAAATGTACCTCCTCATGGGAAACCATATCTTCTTGTAGGAAGGAATGGGGGGGGTTGGGATGTGAGGCTATTGGGGCAGGAGGAAGGAAGAGGAGGATCTTTGGTATGCAAAATGAATAAACAAATTTTCTTAAAAAAAAGAGTTTAGCTACAACTCAAAAGCTCACAAAGAGTTTCGGAAACCAACTTAGAGCTGTGTGTCTGCAAGTCACTACAGAAGTAACGGGAAAG